AAAATCGAGAGTGTGATACCTATTATTGAACGCGTAATATAAATTAAAACGAACAAACATAATTATATTATCATATCCGCGTTGTTAGTTACATTGCTTCTACTTAAATAAAACAGAAACAAAAATCATACTTAAGTGTCATACTCGAAAATGATATYGTTCAATGACATAATATAATGTCGAGAACAAGACGTGGCGACGTGTTAATGTTTTTTTTTCCTCTCCTCTATAAAAACCTGTCGTGTTGATATAGTAAACATACAACGTGTACAATATATAACATTTATATTATATACCTACTCACTAACTCGGTTGAGGTGTACACCGTGTAGGCGCACGCGTTTTATTTTCTCTTTGATGTTTTTTGTTTCGTTCCACGCCGATCGCTCTTTCTCGCGGAACACGTGGAATCTTTTAAGCTCAGTGATGCGTCCTCGTCGCCGCCGCCATATCATATTATTATCGTAGCGTTATTATAGGTACTGTATAATATTATTATTATAAACATGTATGTTCCATATTATGTGCCGTGAATACAAGTCGATCGGCTGACATACAAAATCACAAGATGTTATACGCATTGGTTTTTTTATTTTTTTTTTTAACAAGCTGTAAACACGCCAACCACACTAATACTGCAGCTCTGCGACGGGATTGAAGATTTTTATTATTATTATTATTTTTTTTTTAACTATCACTTTGACGAATACGAATTGTGTGTCTGCGATATAGTGACGAGAACGGCGTGGAGAGATATGAACACGCGTGATGTTCTTTAGTGCAGYGAATATCATCTTAAGCGGTATTTATTAGGCGCGTRTGATTGGCCTGCGRTGAAATTTTAAATCTATAGGAAGTATTTAGGTATATAAACTATAAAGGTTGTTAATAACTATATTATATACTATATTACTATTGCCTGTAAGTTATAACTCGTTAGCATTTAATTATTATATTTTAATGCCATTTGCCTATATCTATACACAACTAACTGTTTTTTAGTTATTTTTTTTAATTATTTAATTATTTTTTAAATTAAAAAGCCATCACTGAATAACTGATAAATGCCTATCTTTACTCAGAATCTGGTTAGTGCGATGTATTTAAATTTAAATTTTCCTTTGTTCATATTATATATATTTCCAAATAATATGAGTGCGMACGCATGTATTAAGAAGTTGTATCAATCACCGCGAAATCGAGTTCAATATGTTCGCGAAAACTATATTAATATCAAATTGACATCGTAAACTTAAAGTTAACTAATAGCTTTCGAGGTATGGCAGTCTGATTTTAAAACTTACCAGACTTCTGCGGTCAATCAAACCCAAATTGCAGTAAACCGTATTTTGGAGTTCCCATAGTATACAATATGAAAGAATTTCGCACTATGACCTATATTATATATAGTTTGTTGGTACTAAATTTTTATACAGAGTATAATAATTGCTTATAGCATTTTAATACATAGTWTACCTACTTGTTACTACTTATTTACCACGCTTCAATAACCATTAAACCATACATAATATTATAATAATATACGACTTGAATATTCCACTATATGCATATATTATATTTTAAGTTTCACTCCTGATGTGAAATTTTATATCAAAAATCGCTTAAAATGTTTTAATGTTAACGAAAAAAATATTTTATGAACATCGAACGTTTTGCGTTTATTGAACGGATGACTGTTGAAAATAGTACCAATATAAAATAGTAAGAACTTGGAAATACTATTAGATTTTTTGATTTATTTAATATTATATTMATTAAGTACCTACAGTGATGTCGGCAATACAAAATTTATATTAATTTTTAAGTAAAATCGCGTCATAACGGTTTTTCTTGGTGATTAGACGATTTTATTTCTTGTTACTATTATTAATACTAAGCACCCTAGCGGGGCCTAACCCCTTCAATTCCGCCTAAGTAGCAATAATGTTAATAAAATAATATTTCAATATTAGTAGGTATAACCCACACATTCTCTTAATGCGATAATTACCTTAACATAGCATATATATAGGTATTGTATGCAAGCAGCCATCCGCCAACGCATATATAACAATGATAATAATTCTCATGCAATATAATATTATATAAAATCGATGAAAACCATCGCTGGCGTATATATATACATACATATATATATATATATATATACATGCGTACGATATATTATTATTGTGTACACAGGAAGTCGGCGGCGGCGGCATACAGTACCGGTGCGCGTGCAAGGAAACGGATCCGGTGTGCGGGTCGGACAATAGGACGTACTCAAACATGTGTCAGCTCAACGAGGCGGTCGCGGGACACAACGGGACGCAATTCTGGATGCAATACCGGGGACCGTGTCAGTCGGGTAAGTATACTATAAGTAACAGCTATATACAGCAGGCCACACACACACGCACATATGAGAGTATGATATAATATTACATTAATGTATGTAGACATGTTAACGTTTGAACGATCCCTCGTAAACGTATATATTAATTCGATTCCGCTCAATAATTCAAATATCATATTAATAAATATATACCGTCTCTCGTCGTTTTCAGAGTTTTCCGTTCGTCGTATTATACGATTAAATACACTAAAATAGTTATAATATTATATACGTAGGTATTGCGCGTGCCGAGTGAGTTACATACCCACCCAAATAAGTAATAATTCTGTCATCGAACACGTTTAAACATTAAACATTATGCTATTTATACATATATATGACCGATCTTTCATTAATTATTCCCTTTTAACGGTTTTTTTTTTATCTATATTATTATTTTTTATTTTTAACAAATAAACATATGTATATATGCTTGCACCACTTCAATATTTAATAAGTCACTATTTTTGGTTTTCCTCTTAAAACGAAAGTAAAAATTGAATGTATACCTAACTATATAATATATTTACTGGGTGATTTACCATCGTATTAAATTGCGTGGGGGAGCTACAATTTACAAATTTAAACCATCAACATATAAGTTATATAATCAACTATCAAATATAATTGGATATTTTAAACATCGGTAGCAGAATAGCCAGAATATTATGCACGAAATGTACAATATATTATTATCAAGAATGCCTCTAGGCGTCTCTAGCTATAATACATGTATACTAATCTATCACTATATCTTCATACAAAAAGTAAAAACCGATAATACATTATTTTTTTTTATACTCTACAAAAATTGTTTGCTTGATATTAATTATTAATTATTTTTGATAAATTAAATGAACACTGCGCACCTATATACAATATACTCAATACTGTATATATACTATATAATAATTGTTTTCGATTTCAGCCCCTTTCATTAGGTCAGCACCCAAAAACTTGGCTGGTTCCATCGGGCATACCGTGGTGTTTGATTGTGAAGTCAACGGATATCCTGTGCCTAGCATTAGCTGGCGATTTACGGATATAAATGGAATCACAAAATGGTTGCCAGGTTTGATTTTTTTTTTTTTATTATATTACTAAAACAATCTACGAAAACAACATTGCAAACTTCAAACAGTCACGACACTTATTCTATAATATAATGCGTAGGTAGTTGCATGTTGCGATAAACTGYTAAACTGTCATCATAGTCGTTATAAAATATTTTGTATGATAAATCGAATTTTAAGTACAAATAATCAATACTAAGAATTCATATATTAGTTAAATTAATGATATATATTTTATGTTCTAATTCCGCGAGACCGCGGCAATAATTAATACGCAGCTATTACGCAATATAAAAAAAAAATTTTGATATTTTTCGAATTTAAATAATGTTTATACATCCATAGAAATAATTTCAATCAATCATCTATTAAATATTCTTAATCTCGATTTCATTGAAGTTTAATCGATTGAGAGTTGTAATCAYATAAATGACCCATGGCAGTATACGAGAAACGATAATTAATTATTTACATCTCAATAGTTTTACCATTCATTATATTAAGTCACCACAACCATTATGTATTTTTAACTTTATAATGCTCCTATACAATTGTACGTGATTTTTTACACACAAAGAGTATCCAACAATATAAATCAAGTAAATAGCTAACTGTCATTAMTTTTTACGAACCAGTCAAAACGACAAAATTTGTATCGACATGCAGTTGAGTAATAAAAATGAGAAGCCTTTCGAGTACGACGACAACGACMCGCAGCAAGTTTGACGTCGGGATGTTTACAAAAGACCTACCAAGCTGCCAACAACTTTACAGTACCGGACGGATCTATGTGTATTATGTAGAGCTTGCAACACTTCTAACTGATGGGCTGGTGATGCAGCCAGTAGCAATCGCCAATCAATAATTATAAAGAAGATTACTTATAGATTATAGATCTTGAGTTGCAATGATATACAAGCAGCTACGAACTTGCTCAGTCGAATATATATTATTATCTCTACACCCCCCCCCTCCCACCACCACCATACGACATTATATTCATTGATAAGTGTATTTTTAATATTATTTATGCACGGAAACAGTACAAAACTTGGCTCAATTTATGAAGACACAACCCCCCTCTTCCACAAGTTAATAATCCAGGCTACGCGCTAATAGCGGCATTGGCGCACATACGGGGGTGCCAGGGGGTGCTTAGCACCCCTAAGTCTTAAATTAGCACCCCCAAATTATTTTGAATTAAAAATTTTGTTTTAAGTGTAATTTTGCATTTAAAATGTATTATTTCCAGTTTATATTGGTAATGCAATAATTTTTACTAAAAATGTTGTTTTCGTAAACTGCAATGTCTATCGGAATGATGATTTATTG